GCTTCTTCTGTCATGGGCTATTCACATTACCTACATCCTCGTATCAAGCCTTCACTTTCACAATTATTTTCTTTGCTTATTTAAATATAGTGTGGTGTCCCCTCTGCACTGGCGTTCTCATACCCCTTCACCCTTGTGCTGGTAATGTTGATCATTCTGCCATATTGTTACGCATTCCTCCTTCCCTAGGTCTTATCACAGTCTCTCCCTTGCCAACCCACAAACATTGTGGTTCAATATTGCACCTTATCAAAGCAAGCAAAACCACAACATTTGTGGGTTGGCACACAAGAGACTAGGGTACAGGAAGTCAAAGACTTGGTATTAGGGATAGAAACAGGATAGACGCAATGGATACTAGAGTTAGTTGGCTGACAATAGGCCTGTTTTACCATAGACGTAGTCTATGAAACAAAGGTTTGACCATGAGACTTACTCAGAGGCTTCAGACTCGAATTAGTCACAGAGACGCAGGGGATGGGTAATAACGCTTCGTGGAGCGCAGATTGAGAGGGGTCGAGTGAAATACTTGAACCTACGGGGCAAGAGGGAGACTGTGACAAGACCTATGGAAGGAGCACTGGGTAACAATATGGCAGACTCTGATCAACATTCCCAGCACAAGGGTGAAGCGGAGTGAGAACGCCAGTGTAGTGTTGATTGTTCTCATGAGAGCAACTTAAAAGGGCACCACACTACATTTAAATAAACAAGGGAACAAAAATTGTGAAACTGAAGGCTGGATACGAAGATATAGGAGAGGTGAATAGCCCAGGGCAGAAGGAGAGATACCACAACTGTTTGGCACACATTTGACCAAAGGATCGGCTTCACTTGTCTCTTTGACGAGTTATAATATGGTGCTAAGAGTGGAAAAACTCACTGGCGATGCCGACAAAACGTCTGGGAATGTACCACGTCCACGGTCCGACTCTGGAAATGATCACACATACAATGGACTTCGGACTAGGCTCGTTCCTCTAAGTGTTCCTACCAATGTGACCAAGTTGCGAAAACAAGGTTAAACAACTTCTATACAACGAAATGAGACTGTGATCACACAAAAGGCCACACCATCTTGGTCTTAATATCTTTCAAAGATTTATGTTCACGAGGATCATGATTACTAGAATGCTCCATAAGTCACCGACAGATTTAGGTCACAGTTTATTCAAATATCTGCCTTGGAAACATAGAAAGTAAAAATGAGGGAAATGAAAGGAATCCAGAATAAATGCATGCCGCTCCAGCCAATCGATCTGCTGGAAGAGAAGAGGTGACAGACTTATCTGTTCATCGGAATAATAGCAGCCTATCAATGTTTCAGCATAAATACGTACAATAGTTTGCCGAACAAAGACGTAATAAAACGTGGGAACATAGGGACATAAGACTCAGTTTCTCCCTTTATCATATAGTGGGGGAGAGAAAAACCGACAGCACAAGCAGTCCTGCTAGAAATGTATGAATAACTATTATTTTAAATGAAGTAACGCGAAGATAGCTAATAGCTCCATTAAGATAAAAATGAACATAATTCGGCTTATAGCAAGTGATAAAGGTAAAGCATTAATTAGGGAGACAAACAAAGAAAGAGTGACCATTTAGTTTAATTAAGTCAGGAGGATCTAGAGTGATCTTAAATGAAGCAAGCAAGAATTTTGGCCAATAATTAGGAAGAAAAACGGTTTTATAGGCTATTGTTGCCAAAGTCAACGCGTACATAATTATTTGAGAAAATGATTGAAAATAGACAAATTAATAAAAGAGAAGAATAGAAATTCAGGAGAAAAGAAAAACACTTTTTTCACGATAATAGCGTATTTGAGATGCTGACTAGGCAGGTCCACTCAGCAATACAAAGTTGCTAGAAGAATATTTGAAAAATGGATTAATTGCTCCCGTTACTGCAGCTTACTAAACGGAGTCGGTCTAAGGATGCTGCTGGTCATATGGCGAATCAAAGGAACTAGAATAAAAATCAAAAGTATAGATAAGTGAAATCGTATATGATAAGAAAATTAAGCAGAAATAAGTAAGAAAAAAAGTGACCAATATAAAAATAATAAAAATCAACGTAACGAATAAAAACCTAAAATTCCGTTGCTGTCAAATGATTACTAGATTAGAATAGGTGAACTGTTCACCATAAATGGGTAGGTGGCGCATTGCAAAGGTGGTTTCCCGTCAAGAGCGGATCATAACGTCAGTCACATACTTACTCGTAGGATTTAAATTCGTAAGAAACATAGGCTGGGGCCCTTGTCGGTTAAAAATGAATTTGTACTTTCATACCACGAGGTAGCTTACAGCACGCATACATGACAGGAGGGAAAGAAAATATAAACAGCAATTTTGGTTTATACTATTGTGCCAGACCAAAAAAATTCATTTAAAGTGTACTAACCAGTATGTAGTACGCAGTCATCCCATCCTGGCCGCCGCCAAGCGTCATCCCGAGACTTTCTTCGTTGTTCTAGATCATCATATGCTATACAAAACCAATGGAGAAATGGTAAAAGTTATGCGGTTAACACAATGAGAAGCATGGGTACTTTACAGTAATTAGTAAATACCACCAGGCCATAACCTTGGCAAATATATATCAAAAGGACTGATATTTACAGTCGCTTTACTAGAGAAATGTATAATTAATCTATGAATCGATTTTCCCTCCAACAATACTTTAAAAAATTTATCAATATAAATAATGAAGCTATTGTTCATTAGGCAATTTTAAAATATATTTCTGACCTCAATTAATTTAAGATACCAAGTAGCCGGATTCAGCAAAACCCCACCTCTGGTCTAATTGCTAAATAAACCCTTTACAAGACTCTCAGTCGTAGACAACAATAAAAAATGGCTAAATATTCGTTTCAGACCCGTGGTACTAGAGTTACAGTATTTTATTACAATACAATTTAATGTATGGAATTCCTACCTCCCAGTTGGAGATGACTTGGGAACGTAAGAGCCAAATATAAAATCTAATGATCAAAAAATGAAAATGTCTAAATCGAATCAGGGTGCCTTCCATTTACATAAAAATTGATTATATAAGTTTCAGATACGTCAAATATTGAATGTAACTCCTACTCTGGACACAGAGATTACATTACGTATCGCAATAATGACCTATCTAGGTTCCGTTGCAACGTGTCAATGACTACTCCTGAACTTGGCTGGAAAAGTTGCAGACGCTAGGTTTCAAGAATCAAACCAATAAATTTTGAAACTATAATGAACTATGAATTATGAATAAGAGCCTAAGTAAACATAGACCGCTTAAGCTGATGTAAAGACTGATATTTGAATGCCCACAAATGGAATAAAAGGGATTTACAACACCATTGAAGCCTTCAAGAGGGCATTGTGATTCAAATTGGCCTGCGGTTTTAACCTCGATAGGTCTCGTCAGGACTCCAAACAGGATTAGAAACCAGGTCGTGAGAGTCAAGCAACCTAGCCGCCATAGTCATGGATGCCAGTAGATTACAGGGCAAATATGATTTCAAGGCAAGCCGGGCGTTTCGCGAACCCCATTTATAATGGGATTGGCGTCGATAGGCCAAACATGTATTTGCCACTACAATCTATCTTATTAAGATATTCCAAGTGGATAGGTTTGAAACTATAGGTAGGTCTTAAATATTAACTTGAGTCAGCCGATCACAAGGTATATACAATGTAATTGATTGTAATAACAAATACAAGCTTGCAGCAATACCGCATCAGCTCTGTTACCCAATGATGCAAGAGTCTATACGATAATTGGCCTCGCTACTTGACATACACGACCTGGCTATGGATCTCGTTAGGAGTGCTGAGACAAAAGCGAGGTATAAACGACAATTCGCTCTGGATAAAGAAGCCTTGAGGAAGACGAGGCTGCGTGAAGTTGAACAGAATCATGAGGCTAATTCATTTCATTGTAAGAAATCTAACTTTAAATCCCTATATAACTTCTAACGAATAATTAAATTCTTATCGGACTTTATGCACGAATTCTGTGATAACGACTGTCCTCCTCACTAACGGAAATAGAAATGATAACTTACGAATGAATATATTAACCTTGGATCTTGTGTATAAAACAAGATTCTTTCTGAGATGGCGCGTGCGAAAATGATACCCATGTTTATGTAGCTTATAGACAACTAATTGATAGACGAATGTTACTAATTTAAGTCACTTTTAAAGAGCTTTTCATTGAGTTAGTGCAAAGCCGGCGGAAGCCTAAGGCATTGGGAGTGATAGGTCTACGAGTAGAATATTTTCCTTTTTAGGACTAGTTATACATAAAACATTCTATAACAGAAAGGAAAACAATTTTTCATAGTAGAGAAATAAAGTCGTTTGAAGCTAATACCACCAATGAAGCAAGTATTTATGCACCAAATAAATAAAAAAACGTTGCGGATTGAAAGATTTGAAAAAATACATCAAGAAAATTTAAATGGACTACAAGTACTTAGGACTAAAAAAGATAATGAAGAGGCCTTATTTTTGCATTTATACGAAAAAATTAAGGATGCAATGAAAAAAAGTTTAAACATACCCCAAATATGATGAACCATGTGCATATCACCAATATGAGAAAAAAGGCCCGCCACAGCCTCTTGGTTAGTATCGCGGAAGGCAATGGCTCGGGCCCTAAAAGGAGATACATAAATTTAGGCATAAGCAAAAAGGAAGCTACTGGCAAAAATTAAAAGGACTAACCAATGGTTGCCCCACTCAATCATCGTACCCGGCTAAAAAGCTCAAATAATTAAACAATATCGATAAAATTATATCATATAGTAATTGATATTTCTTAAAAAACTATAGATCACCTTTAAGGAATAACTTCTCAATTCATAAATTCTATTCTTATCAGGAAGAGGAAGTCTAGGCTTCATTTCTGGCCAGAAAGAGAAAGGAAGACAAATATTATTTTTGCGATACTGTAGCATGGAATTTCTTTTCTGTCTATATTCAATAAAATCCTTAAAATGATTAGTTAAGGAAGGCACCAACCATATCCGTTCTGTAGATATTATAGTGCTCGTTTAATCCCGGGTAGCCACCAGGGAACCTCCATAAATGATCTATAGTTAAATAAAAAGCGGAAACCAACATGCAACATCCTGTTCGCCGATTTCGCATGTCCAACTTCCGACAAGGTCCGCAAAATTCTCCTTTCCCATGATCAACTTCAAGAAAGTCTCACTAAAACAGTTCATATAGGTTTATCATTGACACCAAAGGTTACAAGTCATCAAGATACTGCTTCATAAATTTTGGATGAACAGAATGCGCTTGAAGTTCGTAAACTTGTGAATGATCAGAGAGAAGATCAGATTGAGATTCTTTCACAGGATCGAGCTTCCTGATAAAGAGGTTTGCAAACCAAGAGGCCTCAGATCTGGGCACATCAGAACTCATGGTTCTGAAGTTAGATTTAAGGTTACTATAAGATACGTCAAAATTTATCCAAGGCCTACCAAAGAGACTTAAATCGAAGCAAACGATTATAAACATGCATAGTTAGTAAGCGAGAGAATCAAACCGCGCGGGATAGGGAGGTTGAAGATATTAATAGGATATGTCAAATGAATGATGAGTTTAAAACCTCTCGAATAATTCTTAAACAAATTGGATAAAACACATATGACTTTTAATGTTTATGCTTGGTCAAAAGTGCGAATATATATAGTACAAATGAAAACGCTTATAATATCCTTAAATAACCAATAAAGGCAAAAATAACTTAT